GATCTCGGTCAGATTCTCCTGGCTCTTCCCCTTGGGCAGGTAGAGTTGCCCAACGCGTTCGGCCTGGCCTGGTTGGCGTCCCAAGCTTCGGAGTTGCTCCTGATCGTGCCTTGGTAGACACGGACACAGGAGAGCTTTCCGACGAAACGAATGGGTCGGCCGTGGTCTTGAATACAAACGCGGCCAAGGAAGCATCGTGGTCGGCCTCGTAGGCAACCTCGTCGCCGGAACCAGACTTGGTGAGCCTAGGCTTGACTCCGTCCACCGGCGAGGGCAAATAGGAGCCGACCATCTCGAGAAAATCGTCCACGCCGACGTTTTCTGTAGCGGAAGTTGCGAGAATGGGCACCAACTCTCCACGGAGTACAGCACCCCGCAGGGCTGACTCGATCTCCTCGGTAGTCAGTTCCTCGCCGCTGAGGTAGCGGTCAGCCAATTCATCGTCGCTTTCCGCAGCGGCAAGATGAGACGATACAAGCCGAATAAAAACTCATCGAAGCCCGCCTACAAGCGTCATGTCGAAGTCTAGTTTTGTAGGTGGGGCTTGGGTTTTTTGGTTTGTTGGCGTTAGTGGGTGTTTTTCATTTTGCCGTTGTTGTCGCGCGTGTGAGAGGTCTACGACGTTTACCACGCCCTTGAAGCTGTCTGCTGCCCCAATGGCAATCTGGAAGGGGACACATTGCCGACCAAAGGTGGCCTGAACATCAGCCACGTTCCGGTCGAAGTCGGCATTCTCCCGGTCCATCTTGTTGATCACGATGATACGCGGAAGATTGCCGGATTCGCACATATTCAGGCCCATAAGATACCCGGGACTCGAAGTGGAAAATTGTAATACCTTCGCGCCTCGTCAACCAACTCTTCTTTGTTGTCCTCTTTTGCGACGGCGCGGCCACAAGAATCGCGGCGCCTTTCGACACTCGCAACGCACTGATAACCTCGCCGCGGAAATCATCGTACCAGGGCGGTGTGTCACCAGGGGCGTTGATCTGCAGTCGCCGCTGTTGACAGCGATCAGGGTGGTCTGGATGGTGCCGCCCCGCTGGATTTCCTCCGGTTCGTAGTCGGAGACGGTGTTACCGTCCTCGATTCGGCCCTGGCGGGTCACCGCCTTCGTGCTGAAGAGAACCGCCTCGCAAAGCGATGTCTTACCAGCGCCGGAGTGTGAAAGCAGGGCCACGTTTCTTATGCTTTTAGCATCCATAGACGGCATTGCTCCCAAATGAAGAGTCTGGAGTCCTGACGGCAATGTTCCGTTACGAAATCAGACGCCAGTCAGGCAAAATCCACACCAACACAGCACGGCCTGAGCCGTGGGCGGATACGTTATTGTATAAGTTACGGCAAACCTGCGCAACAGCGATGAACTGGCTCGTAAGGTCTTAAGCAACTCCCTCTACCCTCGGGGATAGGAGAAATGGAGCACGCTGGCAATGACACCCACCTCTTGACTTGACCAGGGCAATCGCGTCTTAAACGCAGGAGGCCCAATAAGTCGTCATCCCCGCGGAAGCGGGAATCCAAACCCCCGTCGCACTCACAAAAGCAGGCGCAGGGCCGGAATCCTCGGCCCCAAGCCTCCGAGCAAGCCCGTCCCCAAAATTGCTGACACTGCCCCTTTACAAGCCTCATGACACATCTCTAGCCTGAATACATAGAAATACACCCGCTGCCGCAGGCCGGATCCCAGCACGGAGTCGCGCGCAACTCCAGGGCAAAAGGCAAAAATGATCGGAATGCTCGGTTTGATCGGAAATAAGCGGATTTCCAAATTTTCGGAAACTATCAGGAGACTGAACCATGTCGTCGCGCCATATGTCGTGCGCCAGATCAGGAACGGCGTCGAGGCCCTCAAGCGCAAATCGCCCCGAGCTCGCCATCATCCGGCTCAGCCGCGTCGCCAATGAGATCACCGAACTCTGGCACATCGCCATTGCCAACAAGCAGCCCAAACCCGACCCCTACGCCTGCGTCCGCAAGGTGGCCGACGCCGGCTTCCGACTTCATACCTATATGGCCTTCGAGAAATACCTCCAGCGGTGCATCGACGACGACAGGCGTCCCGTAATAAGGGGAATCATCACCACCCTCTTACCCTGGACCGCCAATGGTTCCTGGCTGAACAACCTGGAACGGAATATCCCCGGCACCGCCTGATCCCCGCGTCTTTCGTACCCCGCGAAAGCGACCCCCGTAACCCCGGATCGGCCCACCCATCGCACCCAACGCCTCCCCTGCGGTGGCCCGCCGAACCACGGGGCCTGCCGGACCACGGGGCCGTCACTCAACGCTCGGAAATGATCGGGAATGATCGGGAATAGCGAAATTTACCGGATAATCAGAAAATCTCAGGCTGATCGAATGATGCGATGGCAGGGAAGTACAACCCGTAGGGGCGGACAGACGTGCGCCCACCCCTGAGCCAGAGACAAACCCCCAAGACTTCGGCGCTCAACTGTTCACCCCGCTAAGCCCGCCCTCGGCTGAGTCACGAGTGGGGTGAAATCCTGCTCTGCAGAACCTCGGCTCCCACCGATGGGACCCCCTCACCCTGGCCCATCCTGGAGAGAGACGGAACAATTGGAAGACCCTGGCCTCCTACCCCCGTGAGGAGATGCCTCGGGGATCACGGAGTGCGGCGGGGATGACGGCTGCCGGAGGGGATGCGGATACTCTCAGCCGTCACATTGGTCGGGCGGGAAGGCGGGGCGGATCAGAAACTCGTAGACCGCAGCACCGAGGGGACCGCCAATCAGGGGGCCGACGATGTATGCCCAGAAGCCGCCGGACGGTCCAGGTATGGCAACCTCTCCCCAGCCGGCGAAGAATGCGACCAGGCGGGGGCCGAAGTCGCGGGCGGGGTTCCAGCCGCCCATGGTCAACGGGGCCAGCATACTGATGATCATGGCCACGGTTAGGCCGATGAAAACCGGAGCAAGGTACTTGACCGGCAAGCTGGTATTGCGACGGTCAACCAGGGCGAAAATCATCAGCACCAGTATCCCTGTGCCAACGGCCTCAACTGCGGCGGCTCCCAGCGGGGTGACCAACGCCAGGGCTCCATCGTCGACGCCCACCATTCCGGGGTTCGGGAAGTACTCGCCGAACATCATCGTGGAGAGCTGGCTGCCGGGATCGCCCCGCTCAATCCCGTGCTGCTCCTCGAAGTGGCGGATGAAGGATCTGTAGAGCAGGAGCACGGTCAACCCTGCCAGGATTGCGCCCACCATCTGGGAGAACCAGTAGGGGAGCAGCATTCGGAGGGGAAAGTCGCGAGGGCGGAAGAGTGCGAATGCGAGGCTGACGGCCGGGTTCAGGTGGGCGCCGGACACCGCGCCGGTGAGGTAGATGGCCATGGAGACGCCCAGGGCCCAGACGACGGCTACCTGCCAGAGACCAGCCTGAGCACCGGTCAGCACGGCGGCCGCGACCACCGAGGTGCCGACGAATACCATCAGCCAAGTGCCAACGACCTCGGCGATACAGCGGTAGATCAGGTCGCGCATCGGGGAATCTGTCCACGAAAAGAAAAGACCCATCCGGCGTGGAACCGATCCGGAAGGGCCTGGGGTAGGCGGCTCAGCCACGCGGGCCAAAGCCTCCTTGGACTAGCGCCTTTTCTCCAGTTCTGAATAAAAGAGGGGAGGCCACCGACCGATAAGTTGTCGCCGGTGGCGCGGTCCTCGTGAGAACCGGGCATATCTCCCGTCGCATACAAAGATGCTATCCCGATTTCATGCTCCAAATCAAGCCCATTTCAGTGGATATCCAGCGTCGCCCCGAAAACTCATTGCCCGGCGGGAAGGCGCACGGAGAACCGGCTGCCTCCACCTGGCACGCTGTTGACCGCGATGGTGCCGCCGTGGGCCTCGGTCAGCCTGCGGGCGATGGTCAGTCCCAAACCGCTGCCGCCTGTATCACGGGAGCGGGAGGGGTCGGCCCGATAGAACCGGTCAAACACCCTCGGCAGGTCCTCGGGAGCGATCCCGGGGCCCGTATCGCCGACCGAGACCTCCACGTGCCCGCTTTCTGCCCGAGCGGAAACCGTAACCGCACCGCCCTGGGGCGTATGAGTGATCGCGTTTTCCAGGAGATTGCCAACGACCTGAGAGATGCGCGCTCCATCGATTTCAAGAGCCGGAAGATCCGGATCGACATCAATGGTCAAAGCCACGGTCTTGGCGTCTGCACGGGGGCGCACGGCATCGATGCAGGACCGCAGGAGCTCCTCCGGCGAGACGCGGGCAACATCAAGCAGCAGGTCGCCGGACTCTACCTGGGCCAAGAGCCGCAGGTCCTCCACCAGCCTCGAAAGCTGGAGAGCCTGGCCGTGGATCGTGTCGAGGGTCTCCGGCGTCGACTGCACGAGACCGTCCTTGATGGCCTCCAGGTAGCCCTGGATGTTGGACAGCGGCGTTCGGAGCTCGTGGGCGATGTCAGCGGTCAAATTGCGCCGGTGGCGCTCTGCCTCCTCGAGTTCAGCGGCCATGGCATTGAAGTTGTGGGCCAGCTGCTGGATCTCCGTAGGACCGGTGGCCGGGGCCCGCTGGGAAAGATCGCCCCGTCCGAGACGGCGGGCAGCCTCGCCTAGGCTCTGCAGCGGAGCGAGGGTGCGGCGTGAGAGCAGCCATACCAGCGCGGTGCCCAGCGCGGCCGCCCCAATCCCTGCCCAAAGCAGGGAGCGGTTGACCTCACGCGAAATATCGGACGGCAGCGGGTTGGCGAGGACGGGACCCTGGGGTCCGGGGTCCGGAAAAGCCACATCGGATACGGTGAAGGCGCCCACCTGCTCCTCGCTGCTGAAGACGGGGAACTCACTGACATCCGTCTTCCGCCTGCCCCAGCCTTTCCGCTCACCGTCCCTGGGAGCGAGGGGGATATAGGTGTGGGAGTCGGCAACCAGCGCTCCATCCTGGTCGAACACCTGAATCTGGACTCCGGAGAGACGACCAGCCCGCTCCAGTGCTTGCTGCAGGCCCTCCCTGTCTTTAGCCCAGTCCCTCTGCCTGGAGTAGTGATCTGACACGAACTGGCGGACCCTTGCCGCCTGAGCCAAATCCCGGTTCCTCTCAAACCGCTCGGCCTGCTTGCCAGCGACCAGCCCGGTCGCAAGTCCCAGCAACACCAGGGCGACGGCCAAGGCCAGCACGAAGCCCAGGGCCAGGCGGAACTGGAGACTGGAAAACAGCCCTCCCCCAAAACCAGGCATCGGCCTCACCCCGTGGTGGAGGGAACACCAGTTGGGTGATCGAGCCGGTAGCCGCTGCCGTAGACCGTGCGGATCAGCCGGGAGCTGCCGCCAGGCGCGGCGGACAGCTTGCGCCTGAGACTGGAGACGTGGGCGTCGACGGTGCGGTCGAACCCGTCGTAGTCGTCGCCCAGGACGCGGTCGATGATCTCGTCGCGGGTGAAAATGCGACCGGGCCGGCGCATCAACAGGGCCAGCAGACGAAACTCGGTGGGCGTCAATCGCAGCTCGGCGCCGTTCACCCTGACGCGCCGGTATTGCCGATCGAGTTCGACGGGGCCGACGGTGAGCATCTGCGGCTCGTCCGCCGGGTTGTCGCGTGCGGCGCGGCGGAGCACTGCCCGGACCCGCGCCGCCAGTTCGCGGGGGCTGAAGGGCTTGGTAACGTAGTCATCGGCACCGAGGTCGAGTCCGCCCAGCCGGTCTTCCTCCTCGACGCGGGCCGTGAGCATGATTATCGGGACGGCGGATTCCTCCCGAAGAGCGCGGCAGACGTCGAGGCCGTTCAGGAGGGGAAGCATGAGATCCAGCACGACCAGATCGGGTCGCTCCTGGCGGGCCAGGGAAAGGCCCGTGGCGCCGTCGCCGGCCGTCAGGACGCGGTAGCCGTCGCGCTCGAGGTACAGCCCTGACAAGTTCGACGACGTTGGGGTCATCGTCCACGACGAGGACGGTCTTAACCATTTCGTGGTCATTGGCGTTCATCGCGTTATCCGCCGAAAGGGCTTTGGACTCCAGCAAGTTGGGCGAGGATTGGGCTTCCGGCCCGTCCTCGCCCGTTGTGGTCTGAGGTCATCTAGCTGACGAATGCTTGGGTCACGCAGAGTCTCCGTCGCTTGCGGGCTCGGGAGTGGCGGTTGGGTCGGGCTCCGGGGTGGCAGTTGGATCGGTGTCCGAGCCGTGGTGGGACCCACGGCCGCGGCCCCAGTGACCCTTGCCGCCCTTGAAGGCGCTTCTGCCCCTCCTGTGAAAGCCGTCTCCGCTGCCCGACTCGTAGCTCTCTAGGATCTCGTCGGCCTCATCCTGGGTGATCCTGCCGCTTTCTACAGCGTCGTCCAGCTTTCCCTCGAACGCTTCGGTGCGGATGTCGGACTGTGCCTGTTTGATGGCGTCGGCCACGTCGTCGCCTTCCACGTCGAGTTCCTCGCCGACACGATTGGCGAACTCCTCGGAATTGCCGCCCCTGTGGCCGTGGCCGCGGCCGTAGCCGAAACCATACCAACTGCCGGATGCCTCCGCCTTGTCCCGGTACTCCTGGGCCTGTTCCTCCGTGATGCGCCCGTCGTCGATGGCGTCCTGTAGCTTGCTCTCCAACGCCTCGTCGAACATGTCTTCCGAGACCTTCTCTAAGGCATCGGCGGTTGCGTCAGCGTCGGTCTCGAGGATCTCGGCGACGCGGCCGGCCAGATCCTCCAGCGCGGCGTCGGCGATCTCCTCTCGGACCTCAGTCTTGGCCTGGGTGATGGCATCGGCGGTCTCCTCAGCGTCCGTACCGAGGATCTCGGCAACCATGGAAGCCACGGCCGAAATTGCGCTCCTCGTGATCGCCGCGGCCCCACGACCAGCTGTGGCCAGGGCCACCCCAGGCTAAAGCAACGCTCCCGGTGAGGGCTGCAGCCAGCAATCCGACCGCCAGCCCAACCAGAATCCACTTCCTCCTCATTCCTCGCTCCCTGTGTCTGCAAACTCGCGGGGCGCCGCCACCCCGCTGTACCAATCAATTTAGCGGTGGAGTTTTAAGGAAATTTGAAGGAAACCCGGATTTTCGAGCTTCCTTCAATGCATTGGCCAAGAATCGGCAGCAAGGAGGCACGAGGAACCAAGGGGACCTAGAACGCAGGGCGGTTCAGCACCGACTGGTCCACCTTTCGCAGGATGAGGCGCCCGTCGTTGCCGTCGCCCAGCAACTGGCCGTTGTCGACCATGATCTTGCCGCGCAGGATGACGGTGGTGGGCCAGCCCTCCACATCCCACCCCTCCCAGGGGTTGTAATCCCGGACGTGCAGGTCGGAGAGCTCCAGGGCCTTCCTGAACTCGGGGTCGATGATGGCGAAGTCGGCGTCGCTGCCGGCGGCGATGCAGCCCTTGCGGGGGTACATCCCCAGCAGCTTCGCGGCGTTGGCGGAGGTCACGTCTACAAAGCGCTCCAGGGACATGCCGCGCTTGACCACGGCCTCGGTGTAGTTGACGCCCATGCGAATCTCGATGCCCACGTTGCCGCCCCCGGATGTCGCGGACATTCTTGCCGGCGATCTTGTCGACATAGGTGGTGAAGCTGCTATCGGTGGCGGTGAAGGACAGGTCACCCTTCATAATGCCGTCCCACAGCACGTTGCGGTCCTCCTCGAACTTGAGGGATGGATAGGTGTGGTACTTCATGCCGTCGGATTCCTTGTACCTTTCCGCCTCGAACGAGAGGGCCAGCGTCAGCACTTCACCGTATACCGGCATACCGGAGGCCCGGGCCTCCGAGATCACGTCTGCTCCGTCGCTGGCTGTAACGTGCACGAAGTACATGCCCACCCCGGTCCGCTGGGCCAGCCGGACCACATGGCGGAAGGCCAGGTCCTCGACGGTCTTCGAGTGGATCAAATGGACATTGTGCCAGTCCCACAACCCACGCTGCTGGGCCATCAGGTAGTTGTACATCACCAGCCGTCGTCCTCGCCGTGAACGGCCAGCACGCCGCCGTGGCGGTGCATCTGCTCCATCAGGTCGCCCAAGCGACCGGTGTCAATCCGTCCGAGAGGCGTGAGGCTGGTGCCCTCGGCATCGGGCGGGCGGATGTTGGTGGTGAAGATTTTGACGCTGGGGAATCCCGCCTCCACCAACTCGTGGAACCGGGCGATTGAGTCCGGACTGTTGGCGTTGCGGTAGATGCAGTGAGTAGTGTAGTCAGTGTAGGCGTTGCCTTGCCAGACGCTCATGAAATCGTGAATTCCGGCGGCAAGGTCGCCCTCATTGGGCACTGGAGCGAAGTCGACTACCGTCGTCGTGCCGCCCCAGAGAGCGCCCAGAGAATGTACCGCGGGCCCGGCGTTGGGCGTGCCCGGTACGGTCTCGCGAGCGCCCGGCTGCACGTTTGCTGCGGCGTGGACGTGGGCCTCAACGCCACCCGGCACCACAATCTTGCCCGCCGCATCGATCACCGTGGCCCCTTCCTCCGACAGCACGCCGGGGAGGGCGACGGCAACAATTTGCTCGCCCTGCACCCCCACGTCCCAGTTACCGACCCCCGATGGGGTAACGACCTGTCCGCCCTTGATCAGCATATCCAACATCGTTCCGGCTCCTTCGGTTTAAATTTCGAGAGGGTCCAGCAGTTCTAGTCCGGCGATCCAGCGAAAGTCCTCTGTATTGTGGGTGACGAGGGCCAGATTGTGGGTTATAGCGGTGGCGGCGATGATGGCGTCTCCAAGGCCCATGCGCCGCTGCTGGCGGAGGGTGATGGTTTGACCGGCGATGCCATCGGTCAAGGGGAGAATTTGAGTATTTCGAAAAAACCCGTCAAGTTGCTCACGTTCCTCTTCGGCCAAGCGCTGAAATCCGAAACTCTCAATATAAGTAATGACCGAGGCGTAACGACGGATTTTGTCGAGGAAAGATCGCATGTCCGAACCATCTGGCTTTGACGCGTAGATGATGATATTGCTGTCAATCAGCATCTCATTCCCTGCCGGGCAAAGGGCGGTCCTTGCGAATCTCCCGCTGCCAGGCCACAGGGTCCTCTATTTCAGCGAAGGTACCCATATCGGCAAGTGCCTGTAAGTACTGCGAGACCGGCGGAATATCGTCCTCGTTATGGGCACGGCCATAGGAATTAGTCTCCACCGTGATTTCGACCTCGACAGGTCCGTCCGCGTCCGGGGCGTCGTCGACCCACTCCACCCGGTCACCATGGAGGATGGCCTTGTATACCTGTTTCATGGTTGGCCTCTACGCAAGTCGCTTCTCGTAGATTGTGATACCCCTTTCGTCTATGTGGCGCTTAAGTGGCTCGTAGTTAATGCTTTCATAAGCTTGGACATCGCATTTCTGAGGAATGGGCAAGTCCTCCAAGTCAAGAGCCAGTCGTCCCAGTCGGTAGCGGTCGACAATGCCAAGCGTCGCCAGGTCAATGTCCGACCGTGGCGTTGCCTTGCCAGTGGCGTAGGAGCCGAAGAGCATTACTGATGACAACTCTGGATAACGAACGAAGACGTCCAGCAACCGACGAAGGACAAGCGGGGGTAGACAACATTCGCTCATTTCGGGATCTCCGCTGAAAGACGGCGGTGCAACGCCTCGAGGATGGGGAGGTAGTTGTTCCGGACGTTTGCAAGTACGGATTCCAGTAACTCCATGTCGTAGCGATGCGATGTGTTTCTCCGGTCCTCGAGCATGTTGATCCAAGTCTGGCCGTCAGCGACCAGACCAGTGGCGACGGCCGTCCGAATTACGTTTCGCGGTGTAACGGACTGCATAACTACGCCGTCGTATTCATGGCGGTCCTTAAGCGTGTTCCAACTCAACTCGAAGGTATACTCAAATCTCTGGATGACCCCCTCTTTCTCCAAGTCATTCAAGTCCTCTATGTCACTTTCCAAAGCCTCGCTGAGCAAGGAAAATGCGCGGGAGAAGTTTTGGAATCGATAATGCCAGCGAATTTCCTGCGCCAATGCAGTTGCTCCTGACGGGAAACTCCCTCGTTAAATAGGCACCGCCACTCTTGCGGGTTCGAAGCCGTATAGCTCGGCTGCCGCGCCGCCCACGATGCTGGCCTGCTCCTGGACCGGGACGCCCTCCAGGATCTCGCTCAACACCTCGCGTGAGCGGGGGAAGGTGGATTCACTGTGGGGGTAGTCGCTGCCCCACATCAGGCGGTCCACGCCGATGACGTCCCGCAGGCGGATCCCGACGGCGTCTTCCTGGAAGCTCAGGTATACGTTGCTGCGGAAGAAATCGCTGGGGCGCGCGTCTCCCTTGAATCGGTAGGAGGCCTCCTCCTGCCGTTCGATGTACGTGTAGTCCATGGAGTCCAGCAGGTATGGGGCCCAGGAAAGCTCAAACTCAACGATAGCCAGCTTGAACTTGGGGTATCGCTCAAACACGCCAGAGAAGATGATGTCGCACATGGACGTGGCAGGGTAGAAGACCTTGGTCGCGCGGCCGCTGGCAACGCGCACCGAGGTGGCGCCGGCACCACGGCTCCGGCCCTCGCGGCGGGTGGCGGTATGCAGGCTGATCGGCATGTCCAGATCCTGCGCGGCGGCCCAGAACGGCTCGTACTCCGGGCTGTCGTACCTGCGGTCCTCCTGCGGATACTCAGTGATCATCGCGGCGGACATTCCCATCCTGGCGCAGCGCTCCAACTCGGCAACGCCCTCGGACACGTCATCCACGTTGATCATCGCCACGCCCTTCAGCCGGTCTGGGTTGGTCGAGCAGAACTCGGCCAGCCAGTCGTTATAGGCGCGGAAAATGGCGGACATAAGCCGCGGGTCCTCGACCTTGTAGTAAAACAACCCCTGAGACGGGTAGAGCAGCTCGCCGGAGACTCCGTCAATTTTCATGTCCCGGATGTGCTGATCAGGATCGTAGCCGCCGCTGTGAACGTCTTCGAACCGCCCGTGCGCGGAGATCTGTTCCGGGTTCTCAAACCGAGCCCCTGCGTTCGAGATCAGGCCGATGCCAGCGATCATCTGATCCTTTTCCACAACCAGGTGGTCGACGTTGCCGACCCGCTGCATCCGTGGAGCGCGGTCTCGAAACTCAACGTCGATACGCTCGGTCCACAGGTCTGGTGGCTCGAATACGTGAGAGTCTGAAGATATTACCAACAGGTCGTTCATCGTGGTCTCCTGGGCCCGGCGGAATCAATGAGAAAGGCCGCCGGAGCATCGGTTTCAAGGATGGCCTATTCTACCACCAAGGCTGGTTGCGAAATCCTCTCAAGATAGCAGGCAGAGGCCGCATTGCCGGGAGATGCTGAACCAACCCGATGCTGTTTTCCCAGAGCCGAGGCGGAAAAGTTTGAATGCAGAATCCGGATAGAAATACCTCACGGCTTCAGCTAACCTTGCCGAATCGAATCTCCCGGAAACAAGGAGCGCCCGTGGAAAAATGGCCCGCTGGTCTTTCGCCCCAGGAACTCGCCAACTGGCTAAACGAGCAGTATGGCGAGGAAACCCTGATGCACCGGCTAAAGATGAATGTATTGGAGGTGGGCCCGGATCGCGCCGTGGTAGAGATGCCGGTATACCCAGGGCTCTACACGCCACACCGCTACATCCATGCTGGGGTGATGGTTTCCCTGGCCGACACGGCGGCGACACTGGCGTCAGTAGCCGCCTACCGGGGCGAGCTGGAGCCGGAACAATTGCCCGTTGCCGTCTCGATTTCCAGCCAGTTAGTTTCCAACATACGAGAAGGGCTGCTGGTGGCCGAGGCAACAGTCCCGCATCCAGGACGCACGCTGGTAGCAGCGTCCACGCGCATTTCCGACGGAGACGGCAAGCTGCTGGCACTGGTCAACTCCACCCATTTCGTCCGGCCTCGGGACTGGTAGACCACAATTCAGCCAGGTAGCCATATACAAACCGAGGGTGAAGATATGAACCTCCAGGATTCCGAAGTCCGATTGCTGGACACGGAGCGCCTCTGGGGCGCTTTCGTTACGCGCGACCGGAGTCTTGACGGGGCGGTCGTGTGTGCCGTGCGCTCCACAGGCATTTACTGCCGACCGACCTGTCCTGCCCGCCGGCCTCACAGATCGCAGGTCCGCTTCTATTTCACGACTCGGGAGGCCAGGGAGGATGGATACCGCGCCTGCCGGCGCTGCCTGCCGGACCGACCAGAAACAGACGCCGATCTGGTCAGGTCCGCCTGCAGGTTCCTCGACGAATTTGACGAGATGAATGAGACGCTGCCAACGACGGAGGAGGTTGGGAGGGCAGTAGGTCTCACACCGGCCCGACTGCAAAGGCTGTTCAAGCTGGAAACCGGCCTCACGGTGTCGCAATACGCGAGGGCCAAGCGGCTGGAGCGGTTCAAGGCCCTTGTTCGGGATTGTGCTAACGTAGCTGATGCTGCCCATGGCGCGGGGTTCGCGTCGTCCAGCCGACTATACGAAAACGCAACGGAGCAGTTGGGAATGACTCCTGCCACTTACAGGAAAGGCGGCGCAGGCGCCCTTATACGCTACATTGTCACCCCGTCGGCGCTCGGCGGGTTGCTGGTTGCAGGAACCGCGTCTGGAGTATGTGCAGTCAAGCTGGGGGACGACACGAAAGCCCTGGTCGAAGAGGTGGAGGCGGAGTTTCCAGCAGCCACCCTGACACATGTGGAATCAGATGACGAGTCTCCTGAGGGCCAGAGCCTGGGGAACTGGGTTGCTGCACTGCTGAACTACCTTGACGGACACCGAGTAGACATCGACCTTCCTCTTGACGTCCTCGCAACCGCGTTCCAGTGGCGCGTATGGCGAAGGCTGCAGGCGATTCCGACGGGCGAGACTCGAACATATCAGGAAATGGCAGGCGACCTTGGCCAGCCGACCGCCAGCCGCGCCGTGGGACGGGCCTGCGCCACAAACCCTGTGGCACCCATCGTGCCCTGCCACCGCGCGGTCAGAAAGGACGGTGGGCTGGCTGGGTATCGCTGGGGGCTCCACCGCAAGGAAGCCCTGCTGAAGATGGAGCGCAGCCAATCCGACCAGTCGTCCTGATTCCGGAATACGTGGCCCACCTAGACAAGTCCGGCAGCAACCCACCTGCGTATAATTGGCAGCACGAACCGTAGGGAGGCTGTTCTTGCGGACTTTCGGCCGGTTATCTGTCCCCGCTGTGGGCATTTTCCTGTTGGCCGTGGCGGCGCTTGCCGTCGCCGGGGTAGCTTTGCCCGCAGTACAGGCAGCGGGTGGAGAAATCCGGGTGGTGGAGGCCCGGCAGCAGGTCAACTACCCTGCCGGTGTCGCATTGTCCGTAACCATCGAGTCCGACGCCGAAATTGACGAGGTCAGGGTGTACTACCGCCCCGCTGGCTTGCGACAGTGGGGGTATGCCTACGCAAATTTCGATCCGGGTAAGCGAATAATCGCAACCCAGTCCATCCCCGTCCGGGAGGCCACCTACATCGCTCCGGGGGCGGACGTCGAGTATTACTACGAAATTCGCGACGCTGAAGGCAACCTTCTCAGGACCGACCCCTCGGTGGTCGAATATCTGGACCAGCGCTTCAACTGGCAACGTGTCGACATCGGGCCTCTGGAACTCGTCTACCACGACATCGGCGACTCCAAGGTTGAGAAGACCGCGACGGTTCTCCGAGAGGACTTGCGCCGGGTGGAGGAGCTGCTGCAACTGGATAAGCCCAAGGGTTTCAAGGGTGTGATATATAACAGTCACGCCGATGCGACTGCCGCTTTTCCCGTTCAGAGCCAGACGACCACGGACCACGGGACCTTCGCCGGCTACGCATTCGCGGAGCAGGGTGTCTTCGTGGGTACTGGACTGGACCGCCGGGTCATCGTCCACGAGTCGGCCCACCTGCTGCTGAGAGAGGCGCTGGGCAACAGGTCCGTCGAAATGCCGGCCTGGCTGAACGAGGGCTTCGCCTCCTACATGGAGCCCAACGTGCGGGTGAGGAGCAGCGCGGAACTCTACAATCGCACGCCTCACCTGAAGGCGATGCGGCAACTCTCCGGTACACCCGCCACCATTCCCCTCTTTTATCACAAGTCGGTGAGTGTTGTTGCGCATTTGATCGAAGAGTATGGGGAGGAGGAGTTCCGCCTTCTAATAGAGGAGATTTCCAAGGGACGGGAGACCAACGCTGCCCTTCTCAAGATTTACGGATTTGACAACCACGGGCTGGACAATAGCTGGGCCGGCCTGCCCATCCCGGACCTCGTCCTGCCGGGGCCGTCCCCCTCAGACAGTGCGGGGGGAGATCCTGCCTCCGACCAGCTTAGCGGCGTGAGGCAAACGGGTGTTGACGCGGCCGGGCAGGAACAGGTAAATGTGCCTTCTCAATCACAGACCGGTTCCTCTGGCAATGCTGAACAGAGCAGCCAGCAAGGGGCGCAGTCGGCTTCGGACGCAAGAGGGGAAAACCCGAGCCAACCCCAACAGCAGCCACAAAGAGATGCGCCGTCGCCGTTCATTTTCTTCGATGCCTGGATCCTCGCCGGAGTGGCGATCCTGGCGGTCGCGGTTCTTTCCGCGCGGTACATTTACCGATGGCTGCGCCCCCAGAACGATGCGGACGGAGACGGTTGGGAAAGCTAGCGATTCCGGGAACAGGATTCCATCTGACCCGGACATATCTGCTGGATTCCTTAACTAAGCTGGCTCGCCAGCGGCATCCTGAGCAACGGCTGGTTTCGTAACGCGGCGGCTTTCTGTTATATTCTTGCCCGTGATTACAGTCGTATACTGGCGAGCGGGTGCGGCGTCGTCCCAAGGGTACAGCGGTGTGGCCGCAGTCCAGGCTCTTGGTCCTTTGTGTAGTCCATGGGGAACAGCGGGGAACAGCAGGGCCCCGGCATCGACTGCTACGCTTGGATTGAGGCCTCTAGTTGGGGTCTTGGGGTAGTACGGCTCACAGAGAGCCGAAGATCGCTGTCGACTGATATGGTGATTCTCTTGGTCGACAGAATCCATCAAATTCGATTCACTCGTTCCGTGAGGGGCCTGTGGCCGTCATAAATCTGACTTGGACAGAGATCGACGGGCTGGTCAGCGAACTGGCCTCCCGGCTGCCCCCAGGAAGCCGTTGCTGGGGAGTGCCCAGGGGGGGTAGCGTCGTGGCCGCCCTGCTGCGCAGCAACCATGGCATCAGCATCACGGCGGACTGGACTGAGGCCACAATCGCAGTAGATGACATCATCGACAGTGGTCGCACCGCAGAGCAGGTCTCGAAAAGGCAAGGACTCAAGGTTGAGGCGCTCATCGTAAAGGAGACCACGGACTGGATTGTGTTCCCGTGGGAAGGGACCGAACTCAGCCAGGACGCGGAACACACTGTTACACGTTTTCTTCAGCAGATTGGCGAAGATCCCAATCGCCCAGAACTGGAACGAATGCCTCGCAGGGTGGTGAATTTCTGGGAAAGGCTATTTTCCGGCTACCGGTATGCCAATGAAGAACTATCCCAGTTGCTGCTCAGGGAAGCCTCTGGTTCATCGGTCCAGGCCGTGGAGGATGGATTGGTGGTCCTGCCCAAAATTCACTACGTGAGCTCCTGCGAGAACCACCTGCTGCCGTTCTTCGGAGTGGCTAGGGTCGGCTACCTGATAAACAGGGACCAGGATCCCCCGGGAGACGTGTCGAAGCTGGTTGACGTCTTGTCTCGACGCCTGCAGCACCAGGAACGATTGACCGAGCAGATATGCAACCTGCTGGACGGGAGGACTGAAGGGGCCGCGGTGATGCTCGAGGGCAATTACCTGTGCCCACTGGTGCAGGGCCGAAACGACCGAAAGGCAATTTTCGAAACAACGGCCTTCGCCGGAAAATTCAAGGGCAGCACTGAATTGCGGGACCGCTTCTTTACACTGGCCAGACAGGCGTGAAGGATTCACAGAAATCAATGGAAGCGCACGGGATGCTTGATCAATTGGGATGGTGTTGCATACCGCTGCAGGTTGAGCGCGCTATACCCATCCAACAAAATTGCTGGGATGTTCGTTGAGCAACTGATCGGCAAGCAACACATCAGTACCAAGTCTTACATTGGCCACATACTTAGGTTCGAAAATCGACGCCAAACCCTATTTCCGGTAGATATGTAACATTATGAGATATCCGATCATGTTCTCTTTTCTGTTGGCTCTCCTATTGTTCATGGGTTGCGTGCTTCAGACCCCTGGGGCGGACGACGCGACAACAACCGAACAGCCGGAGGCAAACCCCATGGCAGACACTGCTGCAAATACGCCGGGGCCCCAGGGCACCGAAGCAGCGCCCACCCACACGATAGTGTCGGCCAGGCAGGCAGCGCGCAGCCAGTTTTCGAGTCCTCCAGCGATGACCTTGGACACTTCCGCCAACTACGCTGCAGATTTCCGGACCAACTATGGCAATTTCCGAGTGGAGCTGCTCGTCTCCCAGGCACCCGTGACTGTCAACAACTTCGTGTTCCTGGCCCAGCAGGGCTATTACGATGGGCTGACCTTTCACCGTGTAATAGAAAACTTCATGATCCAGGGCGGAGACCCCACAGGTACGGGAGGGGGTGGTCCCGGCTACCGGTTCGAGGACGAAATCGTTCCTGGGCTGGTCTTTGACGCTCCCGGCCTGTTGGCTATGGCCAACGCCGGGCCAGACACCAACGGCAGCCAGTTCTTCATAACGACAGTCCCGACGCCCCACCTCAATGGCAATCACACCATCTTCGGGACAGTGACCGAGGGACAGTCGGTGGTGGATGCCATTTCCCGTGTGGCGACCGGAGCCAGGAACGTGCCGCTCCAACAGGTCATAATCGAACGCATCGACATCATTCAGACGGCCCGCGAGTAACGGTTCGCGAACCACCCACCGAACCAGTCAGGAGAACATCACTTGGCATTCCAGAACATAGACTACGAGCGCCGGGAATCAATCGCCTACGTCACACTTAATCGGCCCGACAAGCTGAACGCCATAAATGGCGCCCTGCTGGCGGACTTCCAAGATGCTATGGATGTGGTGGAGGCCGACCCAGACGTCAGGGTTGTAATCATCACCGGCGCAGGGCGGGCGTTTTCAGCCGGTTTCGACATCACGCCCGACCCTGACGCGCCGCATCCCCACAAGGGTTCAGCGGATGGCTGGCGCAGCCACCTGCAGATGCTGATCGACAGCTTTATGAAAGTGTGGTATTTGCCCAAGCCTGTGATTGCGGCGGTCAACGGTTATGCCCTCGGCGGTGCCTGCGAACTGGTGCAGGTCTGCGACGTCAAGATCGCCTCGGAACACGCGGTGCTCGGAGAACCCGAGATTCGGGCCGGATTCGGGCCTCCCCTTCTAGTAACACCATACAGCGTAAATCTCGCCAATGCCAAGGAACTACTGCTCACCGGCGATACCGTTGACGCCCACGAGGCGGCCCGGCTCGGCCTGGTCAACCGCGTGGTGCCGCACGAGCAGTTGATGGAAGAGTGCGAACGGGTAGCAAAGAAGATGTGCCTGATTCCCCAGTTGGGCATAAAGTTGACCAAGGTGGCAGTAAACCGTGCCCTCGAGAATATGGGCTTCCTGAACTCCATCTCTCAAAACCTTGAGCTGATGACCATCTTCGACACCAGCACCAGCCCTGAGCAGGATGAGTTCAACTCCATCGCCGCAAAAAATGGCCTGCGGGCAGCCCTCGACTGGAGAGACGCCCGGTTCAGCGGGTTGGACTGACAAAAAAGCAAGGGGGCGCCCCCCAAGGTGCGCCCCCTCTTGACTGCTTCGCTGCGCGGACCGGGATCCCTATCCCCCCGCTTTAACCTCGATTCCGGCAAGACCCTCGACAAACTTCAGCAGAGCGGAATGGTCGGATTCCTGCTCACCCTCGTTTACCAGTGCCCCCAGCATCTGCTGCAACAGGGCGGTTACCGGCAGGGGCACGTTCAACTCCTGGCCGGTCTGCAGCACGTTCCGCAGGTCCTTCTGGTGCAGCCGAACGCGGAACCCGGCGCGGAAGTTGCGGGACAGCATCATCGGGGCCTTGGCTTCCATGACATTGCTGCCAGCCAGACCGCCGCGGATGGCATTGAATACCCTTTCCGGATCGACGCCGGCTTTGGTGGCCAGCACCAATGCTTCGGCAAGGGCCTCGATATTGGCCGCCACGATGATCTGATTGGCCAGCTTGGTAACGCCACCAGCCCCGATATCTCCGGTAAGGACGACGTTGCCGCCCATGACCTTGAGCAGATCAAAGTTCTGGTCAAAGATCTCCTGTTTGCCACCCACCATGATGGCCAGGGTGGCGTTGATGGCACCGGGCTCCCCGCCGCTGACCGGAGCATCCAGCATCTCGACGCCCTTCTTTGCGCACTCAGCGGCGATACGCTGGGAGACAAGCGGGGCGATGGAGCTCATGTCTATCACGGTTTTCCCGGCAGATGCTCCTTCCAGTACACCGTCGGGCCCCAGAATCACCTTCTCGGAATCCGCCGAGTCGGGAAGCATGGTTATGATCTTGTCGGTTGCTGCCGCCACTTCCTGGCTGGAAGATGCCGGGGTAGCTCCGTCGCCGACCACCTCTTCCACTGCCTCGCCCACGATGTCGTAGACGGTCACGTCATACCCGGCTTTGAGCAGGTTGCGGGCCATGGGCTTCCCCATGATGCCCAACCCCACGAAACCAATCTTTTCGGCCATATTGCGGCCTCCTGACGTTCAACTCACGCCCGGTCTGCCCCCAATGGACCTGCAGCCGGTGCCGCAAAACTGTATCACACATCGCTGCCCGCTCCAACGCCGATCCAATCAATGACGAGGGTTGGCGAATTTGGTTGAGAGAACCGGTCTTTCCATGAAGATGCAGACAGGGCTGCCGAAATTCGACAGCCCTGCAAAAGCGGTGTAGCGCTCCGTTCCTGGTACCGGTGGAACAGAAATTTCTGATTCCCGACCCTTTACGTCCCGTTACGTCCCGTTACGTCCCACTGTCCTCCCCGCCAGGTGGCCGAAGAGGCGCCGAAACTAATCTCCTGTACGGTCAATGCCAAGGGCCGCGCACCCCTTCAAAGCTCGCAAGATCATGGCAAGACGGCGCCTCCAAGGATGGCAAAATCCAACTGTCGCCGAACGATCGCAAATGTATCGTCACGCGCCT